TCTCCATTTTTTCTGTCACTACTGAAGACAGAGCCTCCTTGCAGACTGCCCTCTGCTTTGTCTGCCTTGTATCTATCTGTTCATCTTAAAAAAAAAATCATTTCAAGTGCCATCTGTTTGTGGAGACTAATGGTTTTTCACGTCAACCTTTCAACAACCTCCCTGTTCTTTATGCCTGGAGTCCAACTATGGGCTCACATTCCACTTTGGCACTTAGCAGCTCTGTGACCTGAGGACATGATTTCATTCTTCTATTTTTTCCATCCTCAAAATCAGACTAGATTAGGCCCTACTTCCGAAAGACAGTAGCTGTAACAAAAAAGCCTTCTTACAGAGCAGATGACAGCCGTTCCCGACACAGCACAAGCACTTTGTAAATGCTGGTTGCTGTGTTTATCACTGTCCCTAGGACCAGTTTCTCCCTCAGAACACACTTGCTTTTAATTCTGACATAGTAGGTGGTGAACCTCAAGGCTGAGACTTGATTTGACACAAAAAAAAGGTGTCTAAGAGATGCTTGTGAAATGAAAGATGAGAAAATTGTTGAAGAGGGTCGAGAGAGAAGTGACAGTGCTTCCCAGTCACGTCCTGCTGCCATGGGTGACCCGGCAATCACTGTGCTCCATTGTGCCTTCTTGTGTTGAACTGAGTTGCTTCATGACACAGCAGGGATGTAGTAGGAGGGCTACATCCCAGCCTGAATAGCAAAGGACACAATTCTCAATTCCTGGCTTGCTCTCTCCAAGCTAGTGGCCAACTCCACGGCAGGGGGTGCACCCTCCTTCTGTCATAAAACAATTCTCCTTCCCAGTTAGGGAACACGTATCAACGTGTAAGAATGTCCAGCAGTCACAAGACAATGACTCCATCAAGGTGTCGGTCAAGTCCCAACCCTCGCCTGACAGCCACCAGAGTGACTGAACCAGAGAGGCTGTGTCAGGACAGGGCATTGTGCCACCTGGCCTGACAACTTCATGACACTTCCAAACTTGCTAGGCTGGGAGGCTATTTGAAAACGTAAACCAAATGACACTTGTTGCTTCAAAAGCTTGTTACCAGTGCTGCTCCCCCCAAGAACCACTGGTGTGTGGGTGAGAGTTGAGCTCCACTTCCTGCATCCACAATCTCCAAGCCTGTTCACTAGCCTTCACCTGCTCTTCCCCTCAGGGACAACACATGCCTGTGATCTGCTCTGCATATCCCCTGCCTGCAGCATTACCCAAGAGTGAGCCAGAACTTTATAATAATAAATGAATTTGTTTTAAGGAAGCTCTGATGACTATAATTGCTTACTTTTTCACTGCTTAATTCTGTTACATTTAAGATACTGCATATTGAAATGTTGGGTGTGCAGAGAATTTAAAATCTTCATCACTCCTTCACAAAGAAGACGTTGTGATTTTTGAAAATTGTATGCCTCTGGAAGGCACTGGATTCATATTTGCCAACACTTCCATCTGACCTCATCCTCTGCTATGGGGAGTGGCTGCAGAAGCTCTGCCTTTGCTGTACTGGAATAATACTTCCGGTGAATCCTTGAGGTGGAAGCGGAGGCTGCCATTCTTGAATGCATAGGAAAACTCAGATTTTAATGTGATTTTATCAGTGAATGTTGGTCCTGGTAATTGCAAAGTTATTTGAAAAAAAAAAGTAGATGAGATGAAGTACTTCAAAAAGTTCATAAAATTAGAAGATAATTTGCCATGAAATTTTGTGAAGTGTGTACATGCTTTTTCTTAGATTTTTTAAAAGAAAAGTTTATTTATTTTTATTGGAAAGTCAGATTTATAGGAAAAAGAGAGAGAGAAATAAAGATCTTCCATCTACTGCTCCACCCCCCAAATGACCTCAATGGCCAGAGATAATCTAATCGGAAGCTGGGAGCCAGAATTTTCTCCTGGGTCTCCCACATGGTTACAGGGTCCCAAGGTTTTGGGTAACATTCCTGTGCTTTCCCAGGCCACAAGCAGGGACTTGGATGGGAAGTGGAGCAGCCTGGACATGAACCAGCGTCTATATGGAATCCCAGTGCAAGCAAGGTGGAGGAGTAGCCAATCAAGCTATTGCACTGAGCCTTCTGCTTTTTCCTTAACATACTTTTTTTCACGCATGTTTTGAAGATTCGTTAAAGATCACGGGGAAATATTAGACTTTAGCTCAAGACTGCAGAAGCAAGCTTTGTCATTTCTGGTGATCATTAACCATGATGGGATTTCCCTAAGGACAAGTGTTTTGAGCAATGAGTTTGACATTCTGCTCTGCCATGACCAGCCAAGTTTCTCATGAATGCTTTGAAATATTGTTGAGAAACATGGAAAGAAGAGATGGATCCAGAAAAAGCAAACAGTTTCTGTGGCACCAGGTTGCTTAAATCATAAAGTAGTGCTAGATAGAGCCAGTGTGAGAGAAGGATTGCGAGCACATCGCTATAAGTGGCTCCAGCACACAGAACAAGGATGGAAACCTAGTATGTGCCATAAATTTCAACCATGACACCAATGAGACACCCTCCATCTTCAGGTGCTGTGCTGAGCCTTCTATGTGGGTTGTTTGACATTGTCTTTGCACTGAAGTCTATAAGGGATAACTATTAATTTCTTCAAAGTGAAGGAAGAGGTAGAAAACCTCCAACAACTAACTCCTAACATTAAGGTCGCTCAATTTTACAGTGACTTTCAGCAGTTTCAAGCAAGGTTGCCTGAGTGCAAGTGTACGTTCTGCCTTTTGGTGTGTAAAGCTGGGACATTACTTGTTGAACTTTTCTGCACATCATTTTTTTCATGGAACAACAACACTGCAGGAGGCTCTAGTGAGAGCTTTGTTCACTCAGGAGATAATATAGCACAGGAATTGGCTTGTAGCAAGCATACCATTAAGGGGCAGCTTGGGAGCATGACTCTAGATTGCCTCAACCCATTACAGCTTCCTTGGTTCACTGTTAGGAGGAGGCATGGCCCACCTCCCCTCAACCCTCAGGTCTCATCTTCTCAATACTCCTGTGTTGAAGTCACAGAGCTGCAGGATATGGGAACCTGGTGAGCCCTGACTACAGGGTGGGAGCCAACCATCTACAGATGATAAGAGGGATGAGTTGGAAAAGAGAAGAAATTCACATTTATCACTCTGTTAAACACAGCTAAAAGCTATAATGAAACAACAGTCCAAATTCTTGCCAGAGGGTCAATGACCAAGTCTGGGATAGACTCCAAAGACCCAGATTCCCACACAGGGTCACAATGAGACACGAACATGGACATTCATCTGCCTGGGAAGGATTCTCAACGAAGTCTCTTCCGGCTCCGGTAATGTTGAGCAGCCTTCTGGATTCTTATAGGTAGGCCCTCACACCTCAGGCCTTGCTACCCAATCCTTCTCAGCTAGCTGTCCCTCTGGGGAGCTAGCCAAAGTACAAAATTTTGAGGTTTGGGAAGTCATAGCCTCAGAGACTCATTCTGTTGGCACACACTCCTGGGCTAACTTTGGTTTCCTTCTGAGCTGCTTGCTGGGTCAGGGCTTTCAAACTGGGGGTGGGATTGGGGTGAGCTGGTGGGCAGTGCAGTTGATTCCAGCTCTTGCTGGATCTGGATTTGACTCTGGGGCACCAAGGGTACAGGTAGAGGGAGGCTTTTCCTCACATGCAGGATAAGGCCTTCCAGTGTCAGTTTTAAATCAGTTCAGCTCCCAAGAAAGTCTTTCTTTTACCACTGCTTCTTGCCTCGGGATCATCAGTTTAGTTAGAATTCCATTCCTTAATCTGTGCTCCTTTTCTCTCCTGTGGAAAAGGCCTTTCTGCCTGTGGGGTTACCTTTCCTCCTCCGCTGCTCTCAGTGTGTGCAGCCCTTCTCTGACTGGTTCCTCGAAAATATCTGTTTTCTGATCACCTAGTTCTTCTGGAAAAGTCCATCATAGTATCGATCATTTTGTCTAGAATTTACTCTCTTTGTGGGTCTGTACCTCTTCGAGGTCAATTTCTTGATGCCAGGTAACGCCTTTTTATCTTTGCCTTTTCAGTGTCCAACAATGTTGGAATAATCTGTATAAAGCATTGTCAACTCACAGCAGGGAAAACAAAGCATTTCACTATTTCAACAAATACAAAACAGATACACACAGAGGATACTAAGAGCATAATAAAATTCACAAAAGCTAGATACATTTATGAATAGAGAAGCAATAGCATTAATTTTAGGATGGAGGGGACCCAGAGAAGCACCCTGCTGTACTACCAAGGAATTCAGCCTCTCTGAGAAGGAATTGTGAGGTATGTGGTCAGGAACTTGCCGTGCCTTCTGGAGGACAGTTCTTGCTTTATGAATGAGGCCGTAGCATCCACTTGTAACCTTCTATGACTACAATCCCACACAGGCATATTGAATTTACCCTTTTAGGGCAAAAAGAAAGGCTATGAGTATCCATAGGAAGGAAAAGTTGTCCAAATCATTAATTTTAATAGATACTACATTTATAACTAGACCAGAAAAATCTGCTGTATGTTACCCAGAGAACCTGTGGTAGCCATGAAAACATCTATGAAACAGTCCTTCCTGGAATTTCTGCAGGACATTCTATAGCAGCAGCCTCTTTCAGGATGGCACACTGTCTCTAAGCGAGGCAGGTCTCTGGGTGGAGATGCAGAGGCAGTGAACCCAGCAAAAGTACATTAGAAACTTGAAATGGCCACATGGGTAATGGCACCAAAGGACAAAAACCGGGGCACGGCTAGCCTGTAATTAATTCCAAGAGTCCAATCAATGGACAGAGGAAGCTCAACCGTGAAAAGTTCCAAATTGGACACTTTGCTAATTAACCCTCAGGGTCCACTGACTACAAACATATACAGCCACACCCACACTCACACCTTTGTGTTACAGCATGTATGAGTACGCAATGCGCAGTTATGAGTGTTGCCTCATTTAAGCTCCTTGGTTCCAGATGCATATAAATATTCAAAGGGACTCTTCCTACTCACCAGGCAATGAGAACGATTGAATCAACCTTACCCTGAGGTAGTTGAGGGTGAAGTTTGTCAGCCCCATTCTGGTGATGTTTTTGGAAAGTTGATCCAGGGCCTGAGGATCTTGTGCCTAGAGAGAAAAGAGGAAATCAAGCTATTTTATTCCCATGAGATGCTTATAAGAGAATCTGAAGAATATATTTCAGCTGCTAGGAAATGCAATCTTGAAGTTGGTTTTTCCTGGAGGGTCAGGTTAGTGGGGAAAATTTCATTACCATCTTGAAGGTGTGAATATATAGTGCTCAAGAATATTTTTGGATCAATTAACCAGGACGATCAAACTTCCTTAGATGTGCCTCCAGTCCTTTGAAGAAATGACATAAATTCCTTCTTGGAAGGTCCTGGCCCTGCCTCTTTAGGCAGAGCGTGAGTTGGTTCTGCCAGGAGAATCCCAGCACCAGGTCTGTACTCAAACAGGTCATGCTTGTGGATTTGGTGGCAGTGTCAGCCTGGGCCTTTTCTTCCTGCAAAGTTAAGCGATGCTGTTTTCACAGCCTTGGGTTGAGAACTGCATTTGGAAGGGAGAATTCTCCTCCCCAAAGAGCCTCAGGCTGGAGATCCATGTCCTCACCGATTTCATGCAGGATTGTAAGTGTAGGCATTGATTTTTCCAAATGCCACCACAGTGCAAAAGAGAGATATAAATTACCAAGGACCACTTCATATGGCCTGTTTGGTCAGAACCTCCTCCCCCCAATTCTTTCTGGATCTATTTAAAGATGAGTCTCTTGGTTGTGGTTGTTTCTGCTTCTCTTTCTTAATGCATTCAGTCAATAGCCTCGTGTTTCCTCATTGGCATTCATGAGGCCATCGCACTCGGACTGATGAGAGCTAGATCTTTTCTGTGCTTGCTTTATTTTCACAATGATACTACCAATTGGATGTGCATACACATATAATAAAGTGTGGGAGAAAACCGGCCTAGGGTATTATTTTTATGTGACTGTCTTAAAAGAAGAGTAGTGTTGACATGGAGGCTGTAGGTTCAGCCTCATCTCTTGTGCTAGGTGAAGCTGATCCTCCATGAAGCAGGCATGGCACTTCAGGATGAAAATAACTAAAGGGAAATGCTGTTGCTGCTGCTGTTGGGCAATCATCAAGCCTGCAGAAGACCCACTATGGGCCAGCCCTAGTCTAGGGGCTTCATGGACCATCACTATTTATCCTTCCTTTAGGGCTGTGGCTCTGCTGCCCCTCAGGCTATTTTGGTAGTCATGAAGAAGATGCCCCAGCAAAGAGAGTGGGAGAAGGGATTCAAATGAAGAATGACTTGTAGCATGGACCTTTGGAAGTAGTGGACCAGGAGAGAAGGGCACCGCAACAGAAAACATGAGTTCTTTGAGAAGAGTAGAGCTTGGGTTCCTCAGCTGCAAGGAGAGAGGGGAGGACAAACTTTGGAGTCAGCCTGGCATGAGAGGGCTGGGAGACCAAGGCTTCTGGATCAGAATAAGCTGGGTCAAAACCCTGACTCAACACATTAGGGCTGAGAAGCACTAGGCAATTGATTGAACTTCCCTGAGCTTATTTCTTCCCTTCTCCTATAGGGAATAATCAGTAACTTCTGGAAGGGGCTTGAGGATTAAACACCATAATGTGTGTAGAATATTTAGGCCAAGGCCTGCATACTAAATAATCAATTAATGGTAACTATAGACATTTTATTCTTCCTAAATTATTCAAAGTCCTAGTCTTCAGACCCATCAGATTTGATTTTCTCCAAAGGTTTTTCATAGAAGTTGTTATAGCTTTCGCGATATGGGAGGGATGTAAGTCCTTGCTCTCTGATGACTTTTTAAGGCACTGCATCTATTTTTTCTGTACCTCTTAAATACATCTCTGGTTTAGCATAGAACCTACCCTTTACCTAAATGCTGACCAATAAATGTGATATGATTTATAACCAAACGAAGCCAAGAGAATCACAAATATTCCACTTCAAAGGCAGCATGTGGTTAGAAAGGAGCAGTGCTTGCTAAGGCAGATCTGAAGGGCTAGTGGCCCCACCTCCCAGCAGGTGGTTCTAATCAAAACGAGAAACCGTTTTTCTTCTTCTTTGTTTTATTTCATACCCCCTTATGTGTAACAGGTTTATGGGTCCAGGCAGAGCTGTAGTTGATAATGACTGAACAGAATTTAAAGGAAAGTAGAAACTATTTATTGAGGTAACCTCAGTTTGGAGTTTAACATAACAAGGTATCGAAAACAGTCTCCCCATGCACCAAACTCAGAACGATGGAGAAGATTAAGAAAACCCTGGTTTAAAATGGCTTAGAGTAATACTTAGTATGTGGAGTTAATTCCTTAAAGAGGAGGGATTCTAGAGTTCTTTGACAGTGAGCCAGCGTGTGAGTGCTGGAATTTTCCCATTGAGTAACACGGAATGGGAGAGGAAGAAATTAAAATAGAAATGAAGTTACTCACATGCATGGCTAGAATGCTCCGCGGGACCAACTCTCTGTATTGTCTAATGGTGAAGTGCCACGTTTTTATTCTCATGAGATCATCAAAGGTGAACTCCAAGATCAGTCTGCCTTCGGTACATACCTAGAAGAGACAGGCACACTCACTAGTTAGATATTTCTCGTTCTGTATTGCACACATCAGCAATCCACCTGCTCTCCTTTGTTGACCACGGGTGGCAGTGGTTCTTGCCAGTCACATGGCACAAGTGGTTTACCCATGGCACACAGGCACAAGGATCTGTTCTAGAATCAGTGAATTTGAATGTTCATCTGCCTCCCAGTCATGAGGTATTGTAACTAGTAGTTACTTCTGACTCTGCCAGATTTCTTAAGAAGGGAACAAAATTCACAGGGATAGGAGTTTTTGGTTAACCACCCCTGACACACACTGGGTATCCTCCTTTCCCCAAATGGTCCTGTCTCCTTTCCTACCTCTCCATGTTCACTCTTCCTTTACCGTGGGAGCTGGAGTTCTCATTCTAACCTAAATTGTCCTTTGGAGAACAGTAACTAGTACCATCACGCATGCATACTTAAGTGTGAATTACTACTACAAACATAAGCAGGAAATGTTTTTATTTCCACAAAGGAATTCTGGAAGGCAATGCATAGCCCAAGACAGTGGATATCAGTTACTGACATGTGTAAAGGCTTATTTGGAGAGCGCATTCCTGGATCTTGTCACATCACCAAAGACAGTCTGTTTACACAAAGGACTGGAGTGCTCCATGCTTCTAAGAAAAAAAAAATATATCATAATGAAAGAATTTTGGAGGATCTCCTTCTTGACGGAATAATCACTGACAAGATAGCATGTTTATCTTCTTTCAATATTCTTGTCATTTTCAGCATAGTTTCTGTTTTGTTTGCCAGGTTCTTCATTATTAATGAATTTGAGATGGAAGAAAATGCTAGGCAATCGTACGACTGTAAGCCCATATCTTCTGAGTAAGAGGACATGTTAGTAACATGTTGACCCAGTTTAAATCGTAACAGCTTCTTATTTCGCCTGCATTTATTTGCCAGAAGAAAACTGCAAAAGAATGAATAGAACCTTCGGGAATCAGAAAGTTCTAGATTTGAATCCTGTGGATTCTCTTTAGAGTCATTTAGGTTCTCCAAATTTCTGCTTTCTCCTTCATACATTGAGGAAACTATCCCCAGATGGGGTTGTTGTGAAAATATAGTAAATGAAATTATATATGTAGATTGTCCAGTATTGTGTGTGTCACAAATGGAATCAAAGTAAATGATTGCCCTATAGACAAAAGAAACACAACCAGAGGAAAAATGAATCCCTAGACCCAAACATGTCCGAGCGTGCCCTTGGATGCATGCCAGTCATTTCTGGGGTGCTCCTTTCACTAGGAAGTCTTCATTCATTTCCTGAGTCAGAGCAGCTCTGTCTCTCTCTCTGCTAATACATTGGGATTCTGAGTAAGCAACTTTGGAGGGAAGACCTCTTTTTTTTTTTTTTTTTAAAGATTTATTTTTTTATTTTTATTGGAAAGGCGGATATACAGAGAGGAGAGACAGAGGAAGATCTTCCCTCCGATGATTCACTCCCCAAGTGAGCGCAATGGTCAATGCTATGCCGATCCGAAGCCAGGAGCCTCTTCCGGGTCTCCCACGCGGGTGCAGGGTCCCAAAGCTTTGGGCTTTCCTCGTCTGCTTTCCCAGGCCACAGGCAGGGAGCTGGATGGGAAGAGGGGCCGCTGGGATTAGAACCGGCGCCCATATGGGATCCCGGGCATGCAAGGCGAGGACCTTAACCACTGCACCACCGCGCCGGGCCCGAGGGAAGACCTCTTAAGCTAAAAGCAGATGAACAAAACCTTTATGAACACATCTGAATCAATATGAATTGATATGAAATATGAATATTTCTAAGACTAAAGTTCATAAAGTGTCAAACTTGCATGAAGTATTAATATTCACTTATTTTGTTGTGAATTTAATACAAAGCACCATTTCCTGAACACCAACCAGGTCTACGGGGTATAGTGGTTTTTATGTACTCTACCTAAATGGAATATTTAAATAGACCAAAAACCAATGCAGAAAAATTACTAACAAGTGCTGACAGCTTACTACTTGAGAAAGAGGCTGTTGGTGTTTGCTACCTTTATTTCACAAAAGGTGTTGGAAACAATGCAAAGTAATTATTGAGGTTCTGAATAACTTCTGTTTCAGATGCAATTAGCAGAATCTGTGGGAATTTGGGACATTTGGGCACACTACCTTAGAAAACTTTGCTTGAGTCACTTCCAGAATCTGTTCCTGGCATCCTGGCTGAGAGAATAGAGTGCACAAAAATGAGGAGGACACAACTGTCCCAAATTACCCCCACAGAACATTAGCAGCAGTGGGGTCAGTATATCCATGTTTTCAAAGTGTTGCATGGAGAAGAAGCCCCATAATTCCTTGTGATATGCCTGTGACAGAAGCTCCTGCTTTCACAAAAAGGAGGTATGCATGGCCATCCAGCCATCATTAGCAAAATGTCTTCACAATGCAGAATGGGGATATTTGGATGCTACAATTCCCCCATTTAAGGGGAAGGGATTTTTGGTATTTAAGCCAAGATTAGCAGGGTTTAATGTCAGGCGTTTATCCCTTCTGTTGGTGCAAGTGGAATCCAGGGCAGGTGGAGGGTCTGATGAACTAACATCGGAAAAACAATTTCAGAAGTGAATGCCCAGTATGTTATCCTTCTGGTGGACTGCTCAGTTGTTCATCTTTAAATTTCAGCTGAAATTGTGCTTTTCGTTCCATTTTAAATGAGCAAACTAGTCGGGGAATGTTCGGTTCAGAGAATGAAAGAAAGAGGCTTTTAGTTCACACAAGTTGTATTAGTCAGCAGAGAAAGCCTGACAGAATACTCCCTGATGGAAAGCTGCCTGGGACCACTTCCACACGGCGGAGTGGCCACATGAGGGGAATGGTCCCCAGGGTACATAGCACTGGGCTTTTATAAACCCGAGGCACAGCGGATGGAGAAGGCAGCAGCTCTTCAGCTTGCACATGTGACATGTAGTGTGGGATACTCATCACGGTAGGATACTCATCACGGTAGGTGCTGACCTTCTGTGCAGAGACAAGGTTAGGGTGATCGGCCATTGCCAGCATTCCTGAAGGGAGCATCCGTCAAGTCACTTCTGCTCTGCCCACCTAAAAGGGGGCTTTCTTGGAATCTAACTATCATGTTGGTGAGTTATTACAAAACTCAAGCTCCTTGTAAAACAAAACCAAGGGATCAGCTTTTCCAAGGGCACACCATATGCAAGATGGGTAACTTTAGGATTGAATCTGAGTTGAGTGTGTTGAGTGCTTTCTTGAAGAAAAATTAAGTGGCTTCTTGGAGTGAAAGGAAGAGGGAAATCTTGGTTATCACTGGGCATTCTCAAGTAATTACATCTTCACCTTGTCCTCGGGCCCCAGGCAGCTTCTCCGTCACCTACCTTTATGATGGAAGTTAAGGGAAACTGAAGGCTTTGTGATTTATTATACATGTAACATATATGGAATAACAAAACATATGTATGTATTTATATTTCTTGCTCATGAGTGGTAAAAAGATGGGCATAGCATATTGAGGGGAATTAATGTCTTCTCTCAGAAAAAAAAAATCTGTGTATCCCTTTTAATCAATACAATTAATGTAGCTTTTATCTAAACTTGTTTTTTTAGCTGCTTTTTTTCACTTGAAATCCAAAATCAAAAGGGGTCTCCAATTAAGAAAACATTTTCTGTTGTGCTGAATTCATGTTACCGTACTGTGAGCTCTGACATTTTGTTTCTGTGGTAACCAAAATCAGCTGATTAGTTGGCATGGCAACAGAAAAGATGTAATCCCAGCAGACACACTCTAATCAATGCCCCCAGCACAGATGGTCTCCAGAGGATCAACAAGAAAGAGGCTGGCAGGCGTTCAGCAGATCACGTGCTAGCTTGAGACTAGGCCAGGAACAAGAGAACTAAAAAAGAACATTTCTAAAACTATCCGTAGCTGTTTAACCCCTTTCTTTCTTCAGCTAATTGTAAAGCATTATTGAGCATGTAGCTGTATAATCCACTGAGTTTCAGGTAGTCATCAATTCACTTTCTCAGCTTTGAACAGCGTGCCTGGAAGGGTGCTTTCTGATCCCCCGGTGTGCAAAGCTCACTGTGTTTCACTTGGACACAGAGAATATGTAAGTGTTCGTATTTATTACACATTCCAGCAATATGACCACTGATATTATAATTCTATAGAGCTGGGAGAAGGGTAGGCATTCTCCAGTCTGACATGGCACAGAGGCCAAGCTAGGAATGATGAACTCGCTGTTAAAGACCTGAGTTTCTCTCCAGTACTTTTCTTCATAGTCAAGAATTTCATGATAAATACTCATGAATAGGAAAAAACAAAAATAAAAACAAAAATTTACAGAGGTGGTGACATTGTCCAGTAATGGTTGCAACTGTTGTCCTACAAGACCTCTATATAATGCCAAGGAGGTCATGGTGGAAGTGCTCCTCCCAGCATCCTGCAGCACCCCCACCCTCACACAGAGCATGAGTCAGGCGTCTTTGATTCTGAAATCACTGGCGTATGCTCGTCCCATGATAGAGCCTCATTTTCTATTGGAGACCAAATTTGAAGCCATGAAAGAAAGGTTTATGACAGGTTTTAAAATTCTAATTACAAATGTATCCATGATCTATAATGTTCCTGGAATCAGGAAATTACAAGATGCTCCCTCTCCTCCTGCGCCATGTTTAATATCATTGTTGATTAGAATTGCAGCTGAGTTTTGTTTCACCAGTTGGCCACATTTTTGTGAAAGCAACTCAGAACCACTGGGTTAAACACTATTTGGGGAATGAGAGATTATTGGTAAAACAAATTAGAGCAATGTGATAAGCTGCCTACACATCATGAGCTGAGGCATTAATAGTAAAATAACAATAATAAGCTTTGGCTTCTGTACTCTTTCTTTTGTGACACTGAAAGTTCACAAACTCTCTATTTCATTCTAAATATCCACAATATCTTCTTATGGGAAGATGAGATATTTTAAATTAATATAAGAGCAAGAAAGAAATTATAGAGATTCTTCTCAAGTTTGGGTTGTGCGCTAATTACAAAGAAGCAAAAAAATAAAGGATTGAAAGAAAAAGAACCCCTTCAAATTCTTTAAAAAATAACTATACTTAATTAACATCTGGCCAGGTCCACATAACTGAGACACATTCCTCAGAAAATGGCAATTTTCTTTGCAGTATGGCAAGGGCACACACATTAGTATTGAGTGGAGTAAGGTGGGTGGTCTGGATAACTCATCCAGGGCCTGGGAGAGCTGTGGTTGGCGTCCTGTATCTTGGATGCCTGATCAAACCGCGTCACTCTCAGACAGGGGTGAGGGGCAATCCCAGAAAGGAAATACTGCACCCCAGGCAAACCTGGCTCAATTTGGGTGAAAACCACAGTTTATCCATTCATCAGAATATCGGGATTCTTTTTCTTTTAAAACAAGCCTGGAATGTTCAACACTATACCTTTAAAGCAATGAGCTATGCTCATTTATGAAGATGTCTGAATCTGAGAAATAAAAAAACCAGAATAAATATATAAAAGGGCTCCTACAAGGTACAGTCTGTTTTCCAGTGGCTACAGGCTTTGGAAGTAGCTCCTTAATTATGACAAAGCTTTATTTAATTATCATGGATTTTTTCCCCCTTAAAGCATAAGAGGTTGGTATGTTTGCCTGAATTAGCTAAATGTAACATTAAGCATACATTTTTTTTTTTAAAGAAAAAGCGATCATGAAGCACTGAGAAAAGCTTTCTGAGCAGTACTCAGACTTGGTAGCAAGCCAAATAAATAAGCGCTGTTTCCATCTGAATTCCAGAGTGCGTGGATGTGCCGCATCTCTGGAATGACACGGGGGTAAGGGTAAATTCAGCATCACTTAGGGCATCCTTTTTCCCACAGAGAACATCTCTCCTCCCAGCACAGATTCTGCATTCCAATACAGCTTCTTTGTTTCCTCTCTGCCCAGTCATTTAAACTGAAAGACAGAAAACCGCACCCCTGTACTCCGTGAAAATATCCACTGCGAAATCAAGATGCCACAGAATCAATAACAGCTGATCGTTGGACTTTGACTTTCTCTACCAGCATGGGCAAAGAAGAAATTGCACCCAGAAAAACCAATGAATGAACAACAAATATTTTGTTTGCATTCTCACAACCTAGCTGCATCAGTAACAGCCCATCTTTAGTTTTATCATTTGGAGTTTTTTTAACAATTGATAATCCAATTTGTTGACTGTAAGGGAGGATCATAATGTGTGTTTTGTTCCAAAAAAAAGATAGTAAAATAGTTAACAATGCAAATTACTTTCATGCCAAGTCATAGTCAAAGTGCAACTGACTAGTATTCATCAAAACAAACTTGTTCGTAGATTCTATGACCAGATGTTTGTGCTTAGCAACTTCTCTTCTTGGGAGAGAACAAAACAAGGGTATTTTGCAGTGTTCCAGAACATTTCATGGTGGGAATATTGGTCAATTTTCCATGTTTGTCAATGGTTATAGGTGTAAAATACATAGAAAATGAGGTGAAATAATTATCTCCTGTGCGTTTGGTTTCACACACCTTGGTGAGGGCTTTGAATTTTGTTACACTAAGTTACCAGTGACTAATACTCTTCCATTTTCTTGCTCACTTTGAACCATTTTAGGGTTCTATCGTGACCCCAATATGAGCTGCTTATTTGATGTGTTACTCGAACAATGGTAAAACTTCCAAGAATTCAGAGAAACAAACTCATCTCTGAATTACTTAATTTCATTCATATTTTTGGAGTGTTGTTATGTATCTTACCAATTATCATTGTATTGCAGTTAATAGATTCTCTCATTTGGCAAAATTTGAATATAGCTTTTAAAAAACCTTTTTAAGAAAACATAGATACTGACTGCACAGTAATTGGAGAATGTTCTTTCAACTGTTGAGGCCCAATTCTAGCAAAGAGAAATTCCATTTCAGTAACTAAAGGTGAAACCTGTCTTGAGTTTTGAGGATCTCCCCTGTTTGGTATTTGTGTTCTCAACGTCACCAGCAGACATCTGAGGTTTGTGTTCAAAGAGAGTCTAGCTAGCCATTATTGAAAACAAGATTCCATCAAGTTCCTAACAGTGGGTGGCTGAAGATATGAGAAATCATCTCAAAATTCCCAAAAACAATGATAATTATCCTCCATTACTTCACTCTGAATAAAGTGCCCGGTGAGGCCTGTTTCCTGTATTGTACCTTGGTAAACATGGGCTTCCCATGCTGAGTGACCATGGCACACTGGTCGCAGTCCACTGTGATGGATGAATTGTGGTATGACTCTTTCGAATGCTTGAGGATGTAATACAGGTCGGTCACCCCTCCTTCAAACACAGTGCTAAAGTAACGGGGGATGAGGGTTCTGCCGATAGCTGGGAGAGAAACAGAGAAAGCAATCATTAACCAAAATACCAACTTCCCCACATCCTTCCCACAGCACTGCCAAACCTACACTAACTGGGTATAAAACCTCCCAAGACAGAATTCATGGAGGTAATAGGCATGACTTCTTCTGGGTGCAACCAACACACACACACACACACACACACACACACACACAAGCATATGGTCACTTCTCCAGATTGTGTATCCAGTTGAAGTTAGTTAGTTAAATAATAGGAAAATGAGGGAAATATATTAGCTTTAGAATGAGGGAAATATATTAGCTACTCTGCACCTTGCAGATAGTTCTTAAGTGAACATATTTTCTAGAACATGACACGTTGATATTTCATGCATTCAACCACTCTGTCATTTACAAACAAGTTTGCCAATCATGCTTTATTTTTATCACTAACAATTTTAATGCAAAGTTGAATGACATAGAGCTCTGTAGTATGTTAAATATTTGGACATTTTCTCATTGGAACTTCAGAACAATCTTAACAAGCATAGATTTGAGACCAAAGGGGTTAAGATGAATGCCTCCAGAGGCTATTGGGGCCCATACATGCACCTTTATTCACATCAGAACTGCTGCTTCCTCCAGCACCATCTTTTTAATTGCTTTAATGAAATCTCTAAAAAGTAATTGCATCTCCATATGCAGAAAAACATGACTATGCAAATACTAATTATTCTACCTGCCCTTGAGCTGGATAAAATATCTCCCTGGAATAAATGGCCCACTTTAGGAGAACTTGACGCCTCTACTTGGTTTAAATTTTCATGCCATGTGGTTGCCTGGTTCTGCCCCGTTTTAGTCCGAGTGACGGTGAAAGCAGTCGGGCCTTTCCGATACAGTGTTTAGAAACCTGCAACAAGCCCTTGCTTCAGCAATGCTTTAAAATCCTCTTACACTGGAAATCCCAACTCATATCAGGAATTTTGCCTATGTGCAGATTTTAAGGCGAAGTCTTAAAGTCCTCTCAAGCTATCCAAGGTTTTGTGTAAATCTCTCACTTTCACTACAGAATGCCCCCTGAAAGACAAAAATAACATTAATGCTAAACTACCAAAAAGAGCTTCAGTCAGGGAGATCAGCCATTCAACACTTCATGTTTTTAAAATATTTAATTTCATTTTAAAAGAATCAGTGTTAATCTACTTCATATGGATCCATAGCTTTTGTACATGAACTTGGGAAAAAATACATATAAAGAGAGTACTCTGCCAAACTATTTACTAAAACGATCTTCACAGGATCTTGATATGGGTGATGAGTGTCTGAATAATTTATATCGTTGTTATCACTTCATATTTGCTGCTGATAAAATCAATCAACAAGTGTATGCTAAATATTCCAAAACTTTGGTGATTTCAATCTGAATAATTCTTATGCATACATTTCCCAAATACTGTCTGATCTCCAATACTACATATTCATTCTCTGAATACAAAATCCAAATGAGAAATTTGAGTCCACCATATTCTTAAACATATGCATAGCTAAAATCATAAAGAAAATTTATAATGCTAAAACCATATTGTATCTTGCTAAAGAGATAAAATTAATTGAATGCATTTCAAATATTCTAAGTTGAAGCTAATTACCATAAATCAGCTCAGGCAATTTAACAATTTAGAATCTGCAATTTTGATAATAAATACAAACCATAAAAATGTGGAGGAAAGGTGAAAATATTTCACTACAATATCTGAGGAATTGTCACATTCTGTAGGTTATGGAAAATAACCACCACTGGATTAGTCACATAATTGTTTATTCATCACGAATGCTGCGTAATTTCATTCCTTTACAGTACTATTTGCTATCTATTATGATTTTCACTCACAGCGTAAGAAAGCTAAAACAGTGAAAAGGTTAGGATTCCTTAACTTTAAACATAAATTTTTGAGTAGCTCCCCCAACTTCAGAAAATGTGCAAACACACTTAAAGAGAAATACAGTTGCCTTTACAGGATAATTTCTGGCACTCTCAGAAATGATTGTTACAGGTATTGGAGATGTGTTTTTGGCCCTGATTCTTCAGTAGTACTTCGGGACTAGGCACAGAGCTCCAGCTTCCGCTGTGTAAGCAACTGCTGGTCTCCCAATGACCCGTGACAGTACAATCCGCTCCTTGCATATGGTTCTCTCTCTTTACATCTGGACAAACACTGTATCTGCTTTAATTAACAGACATCAGAACAAGACACCTTGTGTTGACTTTCAGTTACACCTGAACATGACAAGATCTACAATGATCCACTTTGAACTTGAGAAGAAGCAAGTTACTATGAATGATGTGCAATTGTCATCCTGGGAGGAACCCAGGGTACCCATGTAAGGAGTTCTCATGGAGAAGAGATTGAATCTTCCAGCCAGAGTCAGCTTTGTGTGAGTGAGACCATCTTGAAAATGAATCCTTGAGCTCAAGCTGAGTTGCTCCAAGTTGGTGTTATATGGAGCAAAGACACGCCACCCACAGCACACTGTGCCTACAATGCAGACTCACCTATCATTCACATTCTAAGACATCAAGTGTTGGGATGTTTTAAGTATTCAAACGGATATCTGCAGCACCCTTTCTACTAGCTAGGCTACAAGGATGGGCCAATCAGAATTCTTTCCTGAAAGAGGAAATGGAAATTCAGAAGCCTGAGTATAGAACATACGAAGTATAAAACATATGAAGCCAACTCCATCCCTCAGTGTTCTCATTATAGAAAATGTGCTCCTCTTGGTGCTTTTGCTTAAACTGGTCTGGATAAGATGCAGTCATTTGTGAACTGAGAAATCCTCACTGGTGTGGTTCTATCATGGAATAGTGAACCTGAATGTGGAAACAGAGGAAGAGATGGGAAGATTCAACTGCAAAGATGTACATGTCTCCACACAACCGTATTAGAAGCTGCAGGAGATCAACAGGCCTATATTAACTTCCTGTGGCTGCTGTAGATGGTCACAAACACAGTGCATTTTGTTACAGTTGGGACAATCAGACAAGAGTTTTGCAGGGTTAACTATGGTATCAGCAGGACTGAATCCTTTCAGAAACCCTGGGGAAGAACCAGTTTTCTTGCCTTTTTTAGCATCTAGAGTCACTAGAACTCCTTGTACCTTCCCAATCTTCAAATCCAATACGAGCAGGTTGGGCCTCCCGGGCAGCACTTTGACCTCTTATGCTCCCACACAAGCATCCCAGAGAGCCAGTTCATTTCAAATTCTTTAACTTAATCAGATACACAAAGCCCTTGTGCCATCATGGGCAGTATGATCCAGGACCTGGATATCTTTGGAGAGGCCATTATTCTGCTTCCCATGAAGAACATAGTTGCCAAGAGCTTCTGTTTGGGGACAGGCGTTGTTACATATCTGGGAAAGCCACTGCCTGGGGTACTAAATGGCCTCGATTCGAATCTTCCATTATTTCCAGTTCCCTGCTAATATGCTTGGGAAAGCAGCAGAAGACTGCTCAAGTGTTTGGTCCTCTGCACTCACATGGGGGACCTGGACAAAGCTCTTGGCTTTGTCCTTGCCCAGTTGAGGCTATCATGGTCATTTGGAGAGTGAAACAGTAGCTGGCATATTTTCCTTCTCTCGGTGCTCCCTCTTTTTTCTCTCTACCTCTTTCTGTGACTGACTTTCAAGTAAACAAATTTTTAAAGAGCTTCTGTTTGGCAATCAAAAACATAAGTAATGTATACACTGTATTCAACACACAGAGGTGTACACATGTAAGACATGTCATATACAAGAAATTTGCAGAGTCAAACCCATGTGCATCCGTTGATTTGTTCAGGAGACTTCCCCTGAGCCTGGAGCAGGTGAAAAGCACCAAGGAAAACTCTGAAAACTCAAGGCAAAATTTTGTTTCTGTCTTTCAAAGTTGATTTTATCAGGAGAGGTCACAAATATTTAACCATAATATGAGAGAGAGAGAGAGAGAGAGAGAGAGAGAGACTTCCAGCCAGCAGTTTCTTCATAAATGCCCACAACAGCCAGTACAAAGCCAGGCTAAAGCTGAGAGCCTGTGTTTCCTATGTGGGTGCAGGTACCCAAGCACATGGGCCATTTTCTAATGCTTTCTCAAGCACATTTGCAGAGAGCTGGATCGGAAGTGGAACAGCCATGACTCAAACTGGCAGCCATAAGGGATGCCAGCATTGCAAGTGGCAGCTTCACCTTGGTGCCACAAAACTGGCCCCAATTTGTAAAAAATGGATTTATGACCATGAACTCATTACCGGTATCTTGTGACTCCTAAATTCAATGTATGATCTTGTTATTTTTGAAGTGTTGAGAAGATTAACATGTTCTTTTAATGTTGTAAATTAGCAAGCTACATAGCATAGTTAAAGATAAATTACTTTAAATGAGAAAGCATTTCAGATTTGGATTCATTGTTTTCCTAACTCATCACTTACAACAATTTAAAATCCAGACTTTACACTGCTACATGTACATGTTGACTTATATCTTTAGTTTATACTCCAATCCCTAGAATTAAAATAATTGGAATATTGATATGCATACATCTGCATTGTGCTCACATGAAAAGGATTATATCTTTCATATGTTCTTGGGGGTAACATTAAGACTAGATTACACAATATGTCTTTTTAAAGTAGATATAGGCCAAAGCATCAAGTGTTGATAAGTATAGAAATCTATATAGCAATGGAAAGACTTTCTGTAATAGGTGAGTGGAATGCATTATATATTATTTATCTATTTGCTCATGAAAGAAAATCATAGACTAAATTATTCAGGAGCCAAAATGTGTACAAAGAATGTTTAAATAGCAACCTACCTTTTAGATAAATATGATTAGACCAGAAATAACTACAAATTTGTTTAGTTATGGAGACTGGTGTTCAAATACTGTAGGAAGTTTTCATGGTTTTTCCGTGTTGTTTTCACCTATCTTTGGGCCCTAGAATCTTCCGTTATGCTAATTGTCTCAGCTATGAAGGTGGCATCTTGCTT